AATTTATGCTCAAGTTACAAACAGTACAAACCAAGATTCTTATCGTCCTCGGTTTTTAGTGAAAATCAGAATAGCACAGATGGCAGGTAAAGAACAGATGTTCCAAATAACAGACGAGCCTGCAACAAAGCTTTGCTCTGTCTAAGCACACACACCTGCTTAATGAGGAGATGTTTTCACACAGATATGGCCAATAAAGGATCTATAGGTGGTAATTATACTGTATGCCTGTAAAGACAGCAGGGGCTGGGTAGTTTAAGCTAAAATGCTGATCAAATTTGCTATCACACGTTCTCTATAATAAGTACAAAAATACTTAGAGCTCCATTCTAACTATTTACACCCATGTGGTTTTCAAGCAAACAAAGTTCTGTGGTGATAAACTAAGCGGGTTCTGATCTCACTCACCGGCTCGCACTGCGTGACCTTCTGGCAGTGCTGTAGCTTTTAGGAGGCGTTTTTGATCTCCTCCTGCTAACGTCCTCCTTCTTCCTGTCTCTGTTGATAAATGGAAGACACATACATCACCAACAAGTTGCTCATGTCACACAGCGGGCTCCAGGTGAAACTCTTCCACTAGGAACTCACCTGGATCTGCTTCTAGTTCGCCTGCCCCTGTCTCTGGAGTGGGTGCGTCTCCTGCGTGGGCTTTTGGAACGCCGCCTGCTCCTCGAGCTGGATCTGCGTCTTGATCTGCTCCTGGTTCGCCTGCGACTGAAGATCCAAGCGATACAACTTGTTAGTCAACACACAGACAAACGGTCCAGCTGCATCGTGTGTCTCAATAACAGCCATACCTGTGTCTTGAACGTGACCTGGTCCTTCTTCTTCTGGACCTGGATCGAGACCGAGAATGTTTCTTTTTGCTCTCCTTATCTGAAAGAAGCATAGATAGCACCTTAGATGTTTCATAATGCATTGCAGCTCATTTATTTAGCTTTATTAAAAAAACAAACAAAAAAAACATCCAAGGTAAGTAAAAGGGAAATATTCTAGCACTCACGTCCAGGTTCAATAGCAGCAGAAATGAGTGACTGAGCCTCTCTGACCCTCTTCATAGCCTCTTCAATCTCTTTATTTGACGCATCGGCCTTCAGGCTCGCACTCAGGTTCAAACCAGCAGCCAAGGGATTCAGTCTAATCAGAGAGAAGAGCTTACGCTTAACCTCTGTAGCTACACCAAATTGCTTTTATTCATTTAATTTTGGCGTCTTCGCACACTTACTTTGGATCCGTCATCATCTTTAGCAACTGATCAGCAGCCTGTAAGAAGACAGAAGATAGTGTAAAAATCTGAAGTGTTTTTGGAAAAACAGCAGCTGAACTAAGTGGCATAAAGTTTTCACCTGTGGGTTCATATTGGGTCCAGCAAATCCAAACGCTGCCATTGGGTCTATGGTTGGAGCACCAAAGGGGTTGGCTCCAAGCTGAAAAATGAAACAAATAATGTTTGTAACCACATGTGGCAAAACACAGGCCTTCAAGCAGCTAGATCACTGCTACTAAAAATGACAAATTAGGCAACAAAGATTTGAATTAGGCAACTTAACTAAAAAGTGGAACAGAAAGGGCAGTTCTTTGGTTAAAATGTATTTATGTCTCAGTACTTTTCACATTTTGTCACAGTGGCACCACAAACATCAATGTATTTTATCGTAATTTAACGCAACAGAAAACCATTTTTTTTAGGCTAAAAACACGTCCTCCTTTTTCAGACTTGCATTTAGTAAAACGTTTAAAACCATTCAACAATTACGCATTACACTGTGCATAAAAAAAAACACATTAAAGTCTGTGGTTATAATGTGCAAAATGTCAAGGGGTGTGAACACACTAGCAAAGTAGTGTACATGTTGTCCTAGTTAAAGTCTGCAGATGTGAAGCCTTACAGCAGGATTTGGGAGGGGATTCGGTGTCGGGAGAAGGCCTCCGCCTGGCAAGATCCCTGCAACAGCATTTGCTGGGGCCAAAAGGGACAAAGCCTTAGCCTCATCAGGAATAGATCCTACAGCAAAATAAAAAACAGGCATGAGGAGTGAAAGTCTACACATTTGGAAAATTCACAGAAGACGTTCTGAAAAAGAAAAAGAAAAAAGAAAAAAAGAAAAAAAAGAAGTCTTCTCACTGCATTTCTTCAAATTAGGTTCAACAAAGTGGTCACTTACAGATCAGAGTTCCCTACTTCAAAAAGTAATCATTGCAGTGACTTAACTATTGCTGGAATAAATCACACTATTCCAATGAACACTGCCAAGAATATATCACCTGAATGTGTTTTTTAAGTCATGAACCAAACGTTAGCAAGCACATCGGCTTCTCCAGTTGGGTGTGCCCTCAATTTTCATTTAGATGCTTACTGAAACAAGCGACTCACGCTGGCGGCTTCGCTACTAAAAGCACACAGAGAAAAATCGAGATACACACAACAGAGAGAATTTTAAGGATTTGGCAGGAAAACAAAAAAAAAAAAAAAAAAAAAAAAAAAAGCTATCAGTGTCTACTTACCAAAAACACATTTCAGAATGATTAAGTGGTTAGACTAAATGATAAAATTCAGGGTAGGTAGCGTGCCTGCTGTACATCATAGGCTAAAAATCCTTACCTCAACACTGCATCACTTAACCACACCTTGGCAGGGGATGAAGTCTTGAATATTTTTTTTTATTATTATTTAAAGCTATCAGCTTTACATGAAATACACAACACCTCTAAGTTTTATATTGCGCAGATTACCAAACACCTCATCATTTGTCTCAACCTATTCCCAATGCAACTTATTCACAGAAATCACATGACCTAAATTCAGACACACAACAGGGAAAACATTTAAACACAAGAGCACACTGGAGAGAGAAATTGCTGCAGGACACAAAACTGTTGGATGGTATTTTCTGCAGGGTCTGGTATACAGGACTGGCTGAGCCAGGAAAAAGAACTGTAAAACACAACAACAAAACAAAAAAAGACCACTGTTAAAAGAGAATATTGCACCAGCATTGTCATGTTGGGTGGATATTTCATACAATTAACAACAAGGAGTTTTATCATCAGTGACATCAGGCATCCAGTAAATGAAAAGAGTTACCCTTTTTGAAGTCCAGGTTTAGCTCACACTGAAAGAATAGGGTTATTTTAAGCCACCTTGATGTTTCAGATGCCTGGTTCTAACAAAACCAAAACAGCTAATGCCATTTCAAGGTCAACCTTTTAAGCATGAATGTGTCTGAATATATTCAATAGTCACTCAGCCACAACTAATGCTAAAATACTCAGTTCATGTAGAATTTTTTTTTTTTCCTGAAGCATCTTGTATGTATGCCGTTTTAGCAAAGTTTAATAAATCTAGAGATGCACAGAGAAACCGGCTGGTGACCGAAATCAGACAATTTATATGTTGACCTGCAGGTCAGAAAATAAAAAAATATTTTCCTGAATGTGCTACATGTAATCTCTAACAAGTTTCATACCTGAGTGCTTCTACAATCTGCAATGAGGATGTTTTACTCTGGGTAACACACTTAAAGCTGATCTTTTTAATTAGATATTAAAATCAAAGGAAGTGGATGTAGTTTAGAAATGATTTTCTGATGAGTCATGTTTGCTGTTCAGTCAGACTACAACATAGAGAGTTACTCTTTGTTTAGTGCTTCTTCACTAATTAGTTAACTATTTAACTTTCAGGTTTAAAAGGTAATGACACACATTTCTGAATCAGAAAAACAGAACATCATTCCAAGCCAAAAGTACTTCAAAAAAGTACCAAGGAAGATGAACATCTTTAAAAAAAAAAAATGGTTCCTATATTTTTAGTTTTAAGTTTGTTACCAGAGTTTTAGAGGTCCGAGTTAAATGCTGGTAATTCTCAAGGGAATATACCATGTACAGTTAGTAATGCTAACGTAACCCATCGTGCTGATTTCTAATATAAAATGCAAAAGAGAAATTAAAATGTCAACTCAGCATTTTGTCTGAGTAAAACGAAAACTAACGCCCTCAAATGTGGTGTGTTGCAGCTTCTAATACAAATGTGTTCTCATCGCAAGACTAGAAAGAAAAACTGAACAGTTATTGGAAAAGCAAAACCAGAAAAAGATCAAACTAATTTTGAAAGTTTACAGCAATATTAAACAAATTAGCCATAAACCTCATTGGTGCATCTCTTACTGAAAAAAAAATATATATATATATATATATATATATATTTCTGGTAGAAACCGTTTTAATGTCTGTACACTGACACATTTGGGTTTTGTTAAACATTTACAACATAGTGGTTTTTATTAAAACTATCGATTTCTTTTGCAGCAGTGAGTTAACACACATTTGTTTTTAGCTCCGTCTTCCAGAAAATTGACATTAAGAGTATGACTCTCTTGCACCAATATAATGCATGGCCAAGCAGCCCTTTAAGGGGTTGAATACATTGCATGTTAAGCAATGCTTCTAACCAGCAATTCACGTCTGATCTTCATACTCTAAACCACTTAAAATAAGAAAACAAAAAGAGGGAAAGAGAAAGTCCAGGCAGAGACAGAATAGAGGACAAAATAGGGGGTGGGGCTTGAATGCTTGCTGGCCTTTGCAAATGTCTACAATTCCCTGTTGGCAGGCAGACGACCATCAACGAGGGGGCTGCTTTTGCCTTCTTCACTACAAAAACCACACATACACACACACACACATACACACACACAAATAACAGAGAGAGGTTTAACAGTGGATAGTCCAATATGGGGGAAAATGTACATATGGCAATGTGCTTTTTGTTCTACTTTGTTTCAGAACTCTGAGGAGTCTGCACAGCCTGCTGCTGGGGGATGTTCTTGTGTGTAAAGCAGATTTTTGCTACATTACATAATTTTTTCTTTGTACAAGCAGCACCTGTTAAAAGCTAGACAAACTAAAAAAAAAAGAAAAAAAAGAAGATAAGATAAGCCAGAGATATAATCCACAAAAAGCAAGAACAATTGCACTGTGGTGTTACCTCTCTTGATTTAAGAAAAAAGGTAAAATCTGCTTTACACGCCATTTTACTAACCAGAAGAACCTGGAGTTTCTGTTTCAATCAATCTTCCTTTAAAATTATATGTAAATAAAACACGATAAGTTGAGCTGAGGAAATGGGATCCATTTAACTTGGTAACACTGTTACTTTTCACAAATAATGACATTCATTCAAAAGGAGCACGAGCAGAATGACAAGACAAACCTTCAGCAAACGGGACCACGATCAAAGCTCTATCCACAAAAACCGTATTGGTGAGATGCTGGGACACTCCCACAGACTCTGGCTCCTGGAACTTCACAAAGCAGACTCGGGAAGTCACCGGCATAGGGGAATCACTGCAAATGACGAATTTAGAAAAAAAAAATATAAAAATGCCCCAAAAGCTAAACTACTATCTCAAATTTTATAATTATTAAAAGACAGGGTATATAGTTATGGATGACCACCATTAGATGTCTCATCTTGCAACTGTGGGTGACATAAGTAGATAGATATCACTGAGACATGGGAATTGCATAACAGATCTCTTCAGCAAACTCACATAACCACATTGTCTTACAGTAGACCGACTTGTACACATAAAAAAAGGTTTTGAAAAAGCTGTTTTTCTTTAGCTTGTTTGTTTTTGCGATTAATGCTCAGTTTGGTTTATAGTTTTGAAAGCGGATCTAAGGTTGTTCGGGATTTAAAAAGAGCGGTGAAACAGCCTTTCACGCAAATGCTAATTCGGAAGCTAGCGTTAGCTTCAGGGACGTGCTCTGGTAAGCGTGCGGCCTACATTTCCGTTACACAAAAATATAGACTTTCACAGCTTTTTGGACCCCAGTTGAATGTACTTACATTTTACTAGCCTTAAATTTTTAAATAAAAAGCGAAGTAGTCAACTCACTCTGGCGGAAATAGCTTTAGTTCCTCGATGGTTCCCAGAAAACCAAACAATGTCCTCATCTGTTCCGACGTTGTGCTTGGCGACACATTGGTCACCTGAACCACCCGCGTCGTGTAACTCATTTTCGACACAACTACCGTTTTTTCAACAACAACAAAAATAGACACACGCGGAAACAAATCACTGCAGCGCCTATTCGTATCGCATTAAAATCGTTTTGTTTGCAAATAACCAACAGGACAAAGGTTAGATGCCAACTAGAAGAAGGAACAACTGCTGGACGTCGCGGCCATATTGGATAGTGCTTGAGTTTTTTGCGCATGCGTAAAAGGGAAGGACGTAAATACAAAGAAACATCTGGAGTTATACATTGTAACCTCTTTTTGGGTTTCGTTTATTTTCTCTTAACTTGATTTAATCAAATTATATAAATAGACATCGTGGCGCGACAAGATGAATATTGCACAAGAGATAAATAAATCGCCCTTAATAACCTACAGAGGTCGCCCTTTCCTCCTCTCAGTTGGTAAAACTTAGTATAGTGTACAAATACTGTATTTCAATTTAATTTCAGTACAAATATGGCTTCTGTTTCAATGTCTGTCACCAGACAGGTCAGAGATAAGTCTATTGAGAAATTTAAAACAAGGTCACAGAAACTGATGCTCACAAATTAAACAAATTCTCTCTGTTCCAATTGGCTAACCTTAAGTCATTTTGCAAAGAAGAATGGCCAAAAATCAGACTCTTGTGGTTTTAAAATGGTAGAGACAAAACAACTGAAAAAAAACTTGCAAAATTCCAGGGAAACAAAGTATTGCCTCACAGTGTGCATGCTAGAGAAGAGATGTGAATACTTCTGCTTGGCATGGTAGAGCATATCTGGGAACTATAGTTTGGCTCTGGATTGTTTTTAGTAAAATGAGGCAACCTTGTTGTCCAAACTATTTAAATTGAATGGCATGTGACTTATTGCACGTCACAGCACTGTGACTGGTGAAACATGCTTTTCTCATGGTGTTTTTTTTTTTTTTTTTTTGTTCCTTGATAGAACAATACAGACTCTGTTTTATGTCTAATCTCTTCACCTGGATTATCCTGAACAGAGGTCCTGTATTGCTAAAGGAAACCAAAGAATTAGTGTGCACGTTTTTATCTTATTAGCACTATATATAACAGTCTTGGTACGCCATAACCTGATTATGTTTTAATCCTTCACTGTTCCTGATACAGTAAATGTAATATTATTTCATATCTTATTGTAGCCTGTGTACCAACTATTTAATCAGAATTTATTAAATAAATAAAACTATTTTGCTAATTTAATCTGAAAATACTTCTACCACATTCAATTAGAGATTTCAGCTAGTAGAGGTTTCAGTTGTTCATTACAAAGACCATATATCATTTCTAGCATGCACATCTCCAGACAAAATCGTATTGGTGATTTTGCAGACTGACTGCAGCAATACAATGAAAAAAAAAAAAAAAAAATCTCGCAAATGTCTCAACACGGAAGCTCACGCAGTTATTGAGGATGACAAAAATAAAATCACATGCACCATTGCAACAGTTTTGCCAAGCATTGTTTACTGCAATACTCATCTTGCTCAATAAATCCGTTTCTGGAGGGGCCAGTCCTCAAGTTATCCATCAGAGGGATATAGAGACAAAGGGATTTTTGTTCACGGTGTGACATGATTGGCCAGGGGAAAGATTTACAAAACAGCGCAGCAACCGTGACGTTGGCAGGGAAAATAAATACTCCAAATCCACTGGAAGATCAGAGGCTTCCAGCTCAGAAGTGACCCACAGTTTTCAAAACAGTTTGCACTTGTGTGTTACTGACGCAGGAGGAAAACATGGTGAGCAGGTGAGTTTCTGGTGAAGTGAAATAACGTACATCGCAAAAGGAGGGCAAGCTTTGTTTTACATTTCTACTATTTCTGTATGTTCTTATGTGGATATTTTGTCTGTTTGCGACAGATTATTGATAGGCTTAAAAGTACACACTGCTTAGCATGGAACTGTTTAAATCTTATATGCAATGCCACACATTCCTCATATAACTTCATTTCAACATGCTTCTTTGTTACATTACTCTTTGATAACAGATTTGAACATCCGGCTGGTAGCTACAAGAAAATCTTTGAGACATGTGAGGAACTTGCTGAACCTCTGCCAACAACAGTCACAGGTTTGTTTTTATCACTGTGGTATTGGTGATTTTCCAATGTAGTTTTTTTTGACCATGTGATTGAAAAATAGATTTAAAAAAAAATTGCAGGTAGAATTCCTTCATTTCTGAAGGGAAGTCTTCTCCGTTTGGGACCTGGACTCTTTGAGGTTGGAGATGAACCCTTCTATCACCTCTTTGACGGACAGGCCCTCATGCACAAATTCGACTTCAAGAACGGCCAAGTCACTTACTACAGGAAGTAAGAATTTGAACACAAAACCACAGCCTTGTCATCTTCGGCACATTTGCAGAATTCACAATGATTACAATCAGCACAAAAATTTTAAAAACTGTGTGACATAAATGTTGATATGTCATGACTTTTTAGAACCGAAGTAATATTCTGTTTTGTTTCTTGTCTTGTTATGCAAGAAAAACAAAAATGTCATATTTAAGCACGACTAATTTTTAGTTCTTGTTTCTTTAATTTCTTGCTTCTTTCAGGTTTGTTCGAACAGATGCGTACGTCCGAGCCATCACAGAAAAACGTGTGGTTATCACTGAGTTTGGGACATTTGCCTACCCAGATCCCTGCAAGAATATCTTCTCCAGGTTGGTTGCACACGGATAATTTCTTTAGTTGTAGGGAATATTAAAATTATGCGTCTTTCCTAAAATGTATTTTTACCTTTTTTTTTTTCTTTGCAGATTTTTCTCCTATTTTAAAGGAGTTGAAGTCACAGATAACTGCCTGGTTAATGTCTACCCTATAGGAGAGGATTTCTATGCCGTGACAGAAACCAACTACATCACTAAAGTGAACACTGATACTTTGGAGACTCTGAAGAAGGTATTTCAGTGTAGCTGCAGACTTTGATGTGATAAAAGTTTGAAATATAGCTTCTTTGAGTTTGATATAGCCTAAACAGAGTTCCTGTGTAGTTTGGAAAAACGTAATGTTGGATTTAAGTTCTTTTTCATTCTGGATAGGTTTCAAAAAGAAATAATTTATAGAGAAATATCTGAAATTCCAGGTTTTATTTTGTATCAAGTTGTGCAAAACTTCCATCCATCCATCCATCCATCCATCCATCCATCCATCCATCCATCCATCCATCCATCCATCCATCCATCCATCCATGACTCTTGAAACATATGGATTTTTAACTTTAAATATATCGTAAAGCTCGTAAAAGCTATTTTTCCTATGCAGGTTGACATGTGCAACTTCGTAAACATTAATGGCATCACAGCTCACCCCCATATTGAGCAAGATGGTACTGTATACAACATTGGAAACTGCATGGGAAAAGGTGCAACACTGGCCTACAACATCGTGAGGATTCCTCCCACGCAGAAAGGTTTGGATGAACAGCATACTGAAACAAATTCAAAACCTGTGCTCAGTGTTTACTCCTGCATGGAGTTCATTGCAAGCTGCCTGGGAGGCTGGAACAGGGTCCTGGACCCGCATACTCCCAGTGACATAATCAGATCTTTAACAATGAAATTATTATTACCATGATTATCATATATGGTTTTAAGAACCCCAGGTTCCTAGGATGCTAATTTCTCATTATTATTATTATTGTTGTTGTTGTTGTTGTTGTTAATAATAATATATATTAATATTCTGCTTATGCCTTTTGTGAGGTTCTCCTGTCTTTTTATAAGTAAAACAACAGGAGGTTTTTTTTTCCACCTGCACTTCAAAGCAGCTTTCATTCCTTAGATAAGTCAGACCCTATTGAGAAGTCCAAAGTGGTGGTTCAGTTTCCCAGTGCTGAGAGGTTCAAGCCATCTTATGTGCACAGGTGGGTGTAGTTTTTTTTTTTTTTTTCCCTTTGCTTGTTCTCAACACTGTTGTGTGAAATCCAAGTTGTTAAAATGTACTTCCCTCCATCACAGCTTTGGCATGTCAGAAAACTACTTTGTCTTCGTTGAGACTCCAGTGAAGATCAACCTGCTGAAGTTCCTCAGTGCCTGGAGCATCCGAGGTTCCAACTACATGGATTGCTTCGAGTCTAATGAAAGCCAAGGAGTACGATTTTTAATCAAATTAAAACATCAGTCTGTATTTTATCATTTGTTCTCAGGCCAAATGTCTAACCTGTTATAAGTGAACCTTCCTAGACCATTTTCCATGTTGCCAAGAAAGACCCTGGAGAGTACATCGACCTGAAGTTCAAAGGAGCACCGATTGGCATGTTCCACCACATCAACACCTATGAGGATCAAGGATTCATTGTTGTTGACCTTTGCTCATGGAAAGGGTAGCTACATACAATTAGCAATTTTTGCTCAACCTGAATGTCTCAACAATGTGTTTGAAGCTGACATGTACTCTGGTCACTTGCAACCAACGTATCCAAAATACCATTTCTGAAAGCACATATGAGACCTTCAAACAGCTTCTACATGCGGGTGGCAACATGTCTCGTGTCGTCTGTTATTGGCTACAACAACAGAAAACCAGTATAGCCTTGGATTCACTTAGCATCACTTAGCACTAAGCATCATTTAAGACAACATTTATTGTGGCTTACCATCTCCATTCTTGTACATGATAATGAGCTCACTGTAGTCGAATGGCCTCCACTGTCACTGGTTTGCAAATCAAGAGAAGATGTTTGGGTTATGTTGAAACAGGAAACAAACATCACAAAAGTTTGCCAGCATCCTGTTGAGTCTATGGCATCTAAAATTAAAGCTTTTTTTTCTCAGCAAAAGCTGTTCTCTGCAAAGTGGTAAAAACCTGGCTCTAGAAATTTGTAGTAAATAGTGGCCAGTAAGCATAAATCTCTTGTTCTTTTAGATTTGAGTTTGTTTACAACTACTTGTGGCTGGCCAACCTGAGAGCCAACTGGGAGGAGGTGAAGAAGGCAGCCATGATGGCGCCCCAGCCAGAGGTGCGGCGATATGTCATCCCTCTGGATGTCCACAAGGTGAGGCATCAGAAATCCATAAAATCCTTCCACTTAGTAAACGGTTATGTGTTTTTAGTTCTCACCAACCATGTTATGGACTTTATCTAGGAGGAGCAGGGGAAGAATCTCGTGAGTCTGCCGTACACCACAGCCACAGCAGTCATGCATGCTGATGGGATGATCTGGCTGGAGCCTGAAGTGCTCTTCTCTGGACCTCGCCAAGGTACCAACACATAGTTTGGGATACATGCAATTTTTAGCAAATACTAGTAATCTCATTTTGTTCTAACACTTCTCTTTTCTTGGGTTTAAGCCTTTGAGTTTCCACAGATTAATTACCAAAAGTATGGAGGAAAGAATTACTCATACGCCTATGGCCTTGGACTCAACCATTTCATACCAGACAGGGTAAGATATTAAACGTTTTGAACTTAGAGAGAGAGAGACTTAAAATGTACTCATGTTAACTTTTTCTTCTAATTTATGTGTAGATCTGCAAGCTGAATGTGAGGACCAAGGAGACTTGGGTTTGGCAAGAGCCCGAGTCGTACCCCTCAGAGCCCTTGTTTGTCCAGACTCCAGATGGGGTAGATGAAGATGATGGTAAGTTTGATGGTATTAAATTAAAATAAACTAATATTAAAGCTGATTTACACACAAAAGATGCATACAGGAGTATTGTTAGGTAAGTTTCAAATCTGCTGTCTCCACAGGTGTCCTCCTTACCATTGTGGCAGCTCCTGGTTCCCAGAGGCCAGCATACATGCTCATTCTAAATGCCAAGGATCTGTCAGAGATCGCAAGAGCAGAAGTGGAGTGCTCCATTCCCGTCACCTTTCACGGGATGTACAAACAGTGATGATCCAGTCCAGTTGCATAAAGTACCACTCAGGATCTGAAACAATGATGACAATAAAAAGCACCTCCATGCCAGCATGAGGAGTCATTTTTAGAGAGAAAATGATTTTTGTTGCTTTGTAGTTCAAGTACAAATTACTAAGGGGATCATATTATTATGAATCTGAAGAAATGTCTTAAGAAAAGAACTGACTGTTTCGAAAATATGCACAACTTTAAGTAAATAACATCCTGGTGTTGATTTATTTCTACATATTTAATGCGATAGCACATGTAATGCAACATACTTTTTGAACATGCTGATGATTGTGGCACGAGTATTGTTGCTTGGCACCACTGCAACTGTGTTTTTTTTTTATTTTTTTATTTCCTTTATTTAACCAGGTAAACCCCATTGAGATCTAGTCTCAAGGGGGACCTGGGCAGAAGTCTGCAGTACACAGCAACCTGGTTACAAAACAAAATTGATTAATACTACATATACACAATTATAAAACAGATTAAAACAATTTAAAAACAGTAACACTGTTTAAAAGATTCTCGTTGCCTGTTGTTGCCTGTGTTACAACAATGACCCAAATAAAAGGTTCCTTAAACTCCATGAGACGCTATGCAGATGCTCTGTTTGCAGGGATGAAAATTCACTCACATCAGCATGAGGAACTCTTGAAATGGCTCCAGTGGTGAGGTTGAGACAGGTTTTAGATATGCCAACACATTTAATAAGATAAGACTGACAGTAGCCTTCATAGAATTATTTTCTTTTCAAACAATGCACTAAATTTCCACAAACCCCCATGCTCCCTTGTTGCGACTGTTTTTTTTTTTTGACATTGGAAAACAACATTTCAGTACAAGTATATCTCAGTTGAAATTATTCTTAAGGTAGAAAAACATCAGATTCTTCATCTTTACAATCTTGACAAAACCTCCATAGTTAATATGAAACTGCAAAAAATCCGCTTACATGTCACACATGAACTAGTCACTTGACGTTTGTTCCAGTGTGTTGCCAGAATCTGAAAAGTGCAACCACTCAGATCTTGCAGCCCTGCAAACTGAGAGTACTGAATGTTAAAAAAGACATGTTGGAAACAAAACATTCTTTTCAATGGCTTTATGGTGTATATTTGATTTTGCAGTGGTCATTATGGTGACGAACAGACAATTTTCAGAATTTTGTCCTTGTTGATCATCAGTTTGCATTATACATATAGTGTTACGTGTAAACAATCAAAAGACCTTGTACAGCAAGAAGGCATTTAACTAAAAACTGCTGGCTCAAAGCTAAAACTTTAAATAATGCATCAAAAGTTCAGAAGTTACACCCATTTATTACATCAACCCTCTCTGGGTGTTGGCTTTTTTCTTATTAATTCAGGACAACCTGAGAACATATAATGGTCTTGGATCAGTTTCAAGTTTTAAATATGCACTTGGTTGCTGTCCAAGAAAACTCTCAGATGTATTCAGATAGAAAGCCTTGAGTTCAGAACAAGCCAAATCAATATGAAATCTTAAAAAAATGGAAAGCAACCATGAGATCAACAAGAAGAAATAGAAGTGCAAACAAGGCAGATAAGTAATAGCAACATGTTCCCCCTCAAAAAAAAAATATCTTATTAGAGTAAAAAGAGCAAACAAATGAGAAATGTTGCCTACACATATTTCTCAAATAAAAGGATGGCTTTCCATCGATGGTAAATAACGACTCGTACTGACCATGATGTCACTTATGACAGCTCAAACCAAGTAAAACCTGTTCTTCAATGATGGAAAACAGGCATTTAAAGAAGACGACAAGACCATAATTTGAAGCAATGGTTTTTTGAGTATGGGACTGCAAAGATTTCAGCAGAATTAGAAGTTTGTATACAGACATTATGTTATGACAACATGTAAATATTGCTAAAGCAGTAGATCTAGAATTGTTTTTGAAAATTCAGTTAAATGCTGAAAAGTAATACAGCTAAACAGAGCACAAAGGTAACAAAAGAACACATTAAATGTAATATTCCTGCAAGGTTCCTGCACAGTTTTCATGTCAAAATTCCATACTTTTCTAAAATCAGATTTGCAAAAATCCCAAGCTTCAGCAACTTGATTCAAACCGAATAGGAAATAATAAAATCATAGAAAAGGATCAGAAACAGCAAAGAAAACAATGTCAACCTGTCATGACCTGGAAAATGAGTCAAAGTCAAAATAAAGTATGAAACACATCGCAATGTACTTTAGAAGATGCAGACCAAAAAAAGGAAGATCTTGTTCTAAATCGGTAAGCTTTAAGCTTTCAAATTTAAGAACTCTGCATACATGAGATTGGGATAGACACAGTTATGCCAGAAAATTGAGATTTTCTTTATCACTTCAAAAGCTGCATCATTACAGCCAATAAATAATAAATTGCAATTTTTCAATCATACGTCTCAAAATCTTGCACAAATTTAAAGAGCGACGTCTGCTGTGTAATATTTTTATACGAAGTGATGGTGTAAGTCCGAGAAGAATTTGCCAAACCAATCACGTGTCGTAACACTTAGCATACACAAACATATTGGGTAGAAGCAGCAAAAACATGGAAAAGGAGGGATTAAAATTCCAAACTGGTGCTGCCATGGTGCAACACAGAAGCCCTGATTATGTAGTCACGCTTTTCACTTCGCTGCCAGATTTCAGGATTGCATTAATGAAAGGCTCAGCTATTTACTATTTGTGCATTCTGTTGTGTTCCAGGTTTGTAATCACAATGTAACAAATTCAGGCCCCTGCGCTTGAATTCATCCAATTGGATATTGGGTGTTTTTGGTGATGTATGATATAACAACAGAAAGAGTGTGGGTATTTTAAATAAAAACCACAAATAGTTTCTCACCAATTTATTGTTTACACAAAGACTTAGCCTTTCCAAAGGGACAGAAATAAAACGATTACAAGAAATGCTCAGAATAAAGTTAAAACTGAAAAAAACAATAAAGGAAAAGCAAGAGGAAATCATTACGTCTCATTTTTACCTCTTACACCACAAAAGAAGTCTCAATTCTGGGACAGAGGTTTGCACATAAAAACAGTGTACAAGCTAGCTAGTAAATGTACTAAATGTGCAGTGGATTTAACACAAATGTGAAATAAAAACACAGTTAAACTGAAAAAGACAAAAAAAAAAAAACAACAATTTCATATAGCTACAAATCAGATGAACTATGGTAACTACTGCTACAGGGACTTAGAGTAAAACAAAACATTTGTGTTTAATAAATGAATCTAGCTTCTTATGTTAAACACGTGAAAAGTTTAAGTTAAATTGCCGAGATGTAGAGATGCACCCATCAGTCAATTTTCCCTTGATCAGCTTTGATTAATGATTGGCAGGTCAATTACTGAAGCATTTGTTTTTCCTAAATGCATCAAAACCAAGAACTCTCACAATTCAATTAACAAATCAACTAATATGCTGTATTTTGATGCACTTTTTTTTGCCCATATACGCTTTATTGCACAAATTAGGATTACACTGTCATACCATAACCTTCTGTTGGGCTCAAAACAAATGGCTGTATCAAGTTTTGTTTTCAAAAAATCTTTTAAGACCAATTACCGTATTTTCCAGACTATGAGCGCACCATACTAT